ACTCCATTAGATAGAATTTTCCTTTTGTGGGGAATCTCTCCCAGGAATTTCCTTTTACCTTTTTCCCCCCCTTTTACTCTAGCATAAACAGGTCTATGTCCTTAAATATATATCTATATGTTTGAGTAGCAGTATTTTGAAGGTGTGAAGATTCTCTGTAGCAGCACAAAACTTGGAATACTGCAAAGCTGGGGCTCTCAGAGTGTGGTTCTCAGAGCAGGAGCATTAGCATCTTCTGGGAACTAGTTAGAAATGTGAATTCTCAGGGCCACCCAGACCCACTAGAGTAGAAGCTCTGGGGGTTGGGTCCAGCAATTTGTGGTTTTTCTTTGATTGAAGTATAATTGACATAGAACATTATATTAGTTTCGGGTGTACAACATAATGATTTGATATTTGTATATATTGTGAGATGATCACCACAGTAAGTCTAGTTAATTTCCGTCACCACACATAGTTACAAAATTTTTTTTCTTGTGATGAGAACTTTTAGAATCTACTCTCTTAGCAACTTTCAAATGTGCATTACAGTATTAATAACTGTAGTCACCATGCTGTACATTACATCCCCAGGACTTATTTATCTTGTAACTGGAAGTTTGTACCTTTTGATTCCCTTCACTCATTTTGCGCACCCCCCAACTCCCCTGCCTCTGGCAACCACCAATCTGTTCTCGGTATCTATGAGCTTGTTTTGTTTTTTGTTTTCTTTTAGATTCTACATATAAGTGAAATCATATGGTATTTGTCTTTCTCTGACTTATTTCACTTAGCATAATGCCCTCAAGGTCCATCCATGTTGTCCCAAATGGCAAGATTTCATTCTTTTTAATGGCTGAATGATATTCCATTGTGTGTGTGTGTGTGTGTGTGTGTGTGTGTGTGTATCACATTTTCTTTATCCACTTGTCCATCGATGGACATTTAGGGTGTTTCCATATCTTGGCTATTGTAAATAATGCTGCAGTGAACATGGGGGTCCATATATCTTTTCAAGTTGGTGTTTTCATTTTCTTCAGATAAATACCCAGAAGTTGAATTGCGGGATCATATGGTACTTCTATTTTTAATGTTTTGAGGAGCCTCCATGCTGTTTTCCACAGTTGCGGCCCCAGTTTACATCCCACCAACAGTGCAACAAGGGTTCCCTCAGCGATTTCTGTTTTAGCAAGCCCACTGGGGAGTCTGAGAACCCCTGCTTCAAGGGTGCTGAAATAGGTCCCTGGGGTCATGTTCTGGGCCTGCCTTCTGTACTTTCAGGAAGGGACTGAATATTTGAGGGATGGCTGCCCAGTAGGGGTATTTGTTGTCATTGCTGATTAATGATTAATTAATGACACTAGAAAGGTGTACTTTAGAATTGACATTGTATGGTGTTGTTGTAGACAAACCTTTAACTTTTGGAGGCTGCTTTGGTTTCCTTTGTTGGTTATGACCAACAGTAGGAAATAGAATGCCGTAAATCCTCGTTTCCAGGGTCGCCTTCTTGCTGCTGATAACAGGCAGGAAATTAAAACAATCAGTGATGGAGGTTTGTTCTTATTAGCCGCAGATGGTAGTTTTCAGATATGTTGGAGCAAAATGTAAATAAATATAGCAGGGAAAGTTCATTATTGAAGAAAAATGATTTGGCTAGGTCAGGTTTATAGTCTGGGTTCATTTTAATGAAGTGGGATATAGGCAACATATAGTGTTCCATCACCACACAAGGCATTAAGATGTGTGAAGGACACTAGTTTTTTTTTCTTTTTGGTTTAATTTTGAGTATGTAAAACAATTACATGGTTTCAAAGTCAAAACTATATAATAAATTATATTCACAGTTGTCTTACTTCTGTCCGTATCCCTTCTCTCCTATTCTCTTAGTCCTTTATGGGTAATCATTTTTATTAGCTTTTTGATAAATTCTTCTGTTTCTTTTTGAAAATAAGCATACATATGTGTGTATATGTTTGTTTCCCCTTTTTACTTTTTTTACACAAAAGGTTGCATATTATATGACTTTTTTTTTTTTTTTGGTGAGGAAGATCAGCGCTGAGCTAACATCCGTGCCAATCCTTCTTTTTTTGCTGAGGAAGACTGACGCTGAGCTAACAGCCGTCCCCATCTTCCTCCACTTTATATGGGAGGCCACCACAGCATGGCCTGACATGCTGTGCGTCGGTGCGCACCCGCGATCCAAACCCCGGGCCGCCAGCAGCGAAGCGCATGCACTTAACCGCTACGCCAACCGGGGCCGGCCCCATGACAGTTTTTAAAAAATAAATATTTTTAAAAGTTAGCCCTATTAAGGTGTAACTTAGATTTAATAAAATTCACCAACTTTACGTGTACAGTTTGAGTTTTGACAAATACATGCAGTTGTATAGCCATCAGTACAGTGAAGGTATAGACTCTATCACCCAAAAACGTTTCTTCCCACCCTCTTGCAGCCAGTCCTCTCTCTCACCTCTCTGGTCCCTGGTAAACCACTTGTCTGCTTTCTGTCATGATATTTGCCTTTCCTAGAATCTCATACATAGTTTTATGTGTGTGTATATGTGACTTCTTTCACTTAGTAGAATTCTTCGGAGATTCAACCATGTTAGTACATGTATCAGTAGTTATTCCGTTTTATTGCTGAGTAGTGCTCCATTATTTATACATTCCAGTTGATGGACATTATCCTGTTGCTCTTTTTTTAGCTTTTTATTTTGAGATAATTTTAGATTTAGAAAAATACAGAGATAGTACAGAGAGTTGCTATATACCCTTTCCCCAGCTTCCTCTAATGTGAACATCTCTCACAGCTGTGGTACAGTTATCAATACTTAAGAAATTAATGTTGTTAATACTAGTAGCGAAACTACAGACTTTATTCGGATTTTAGTTTTTCCATTGCATTTAGTTGTCATGTTTCTTTAGTCTCCTCTAAGCTGTGACAGTTCCTCAGTCTTTCCATGTCTTTTTTAAAGAATACTTGTTCAGGTATTTTGTAGAATTTCCCTCAATTTGTCTGGTGATTAGACTGCAGTTATAGATTTTTGGAAAAGAATACCACAGAGGTGGTGTGCCCTTCTGGTCCTATGATATCAGGAGCTACGTGGCATCAATGTCTTATTACTGCTAAAGTTAACCTCGATCACTTGGTGGAGGTAGTGTCTGCCAGGTTTCTCCACTGTAAAGTTACTATATTTCCTTTTCTGTAGTCTGTTTCTTAGAAGAAAATTATTGCTTTTTAAATTCTGATATACATCAGTGTGCATGGGGCGCACAGTTTAGCAATTTCCTCAATCTTAATTATAATAATAGTAATAATAACACTTACTCTGCCTGCGTAGTTCTAAACACAGGTGGATTATCTCATTTAATCCTCACAATACTCTGTGAAGGAGGTGTTTTTTTTCATACCCGTTTTATAGCTGAGAAGATAGAGGCACAGAGCTTTGCCCAAGGTCCAACAGCTAATTAGTGATAGAGCCAGATGCTAACTTAGACTAACTCTAGGGCCCAGCTTTTAACACATGCCGTGTGGTTGTTGTCAGAGCTTAGAATGGAGATGCTCTCATTCTTTGCCAGGGAAAATGAATGAATGCTTCCTACATTTGACAATTCTCTTTTGTTCTTTAGGAAATATTTTTTTTTGTTTTTACTTTCAGGAAGATTCCTAAAAGATTTTAGTAAGCTCTGCATGGCAGTAATATGACATTAAAATCATGGAGAAATCCAGGATACTTTGGGAAGCACCGAGAATTTATTTTTGGCCTTCTTTCAGAAATATCACTGAAGGTTAGGGCAGGGTATTCAGAATAGAAAACTGCTTTTGGAGAAGGAGCATTTACGTCAAGAATGGCACTGAGCCTTCTCCTCCCTGGGTTTTATCAGCCTCTCCTAACAGGGGTGTCCTTTTTGTCTGTGAGTCTAAACTCCACAGGTTCACCTTTGTTGACCCCACTAATGATTTTTCTACTATACAGTCAAAGGTGTCTCTGAATAGCCTGACTCAGGGGATGATAACTGTGGTTAAATGATGACTCAGTATCTGTGAGCCTCTATTCTAGTAGCAGCGGAGCCACTGAGGGTCAGACTGTGTGGGTGGACGTGTGTACTTCTTCTCTGTGACTCACTCAGCAGCCTGCCTTTCTGAGGGGAAATAGCTGTAGGTGGCTGCAAAGCTCTATTCATCTCCTCCCTTCTCAGTCTCATCATACTATGTAGGTTGGGTATCCCCAAATTCTTGAAATCATGCAACTAGTTATCTTGAATGTATCTAGTCTGCCAAGCTGTCCAGAAATCAGTGCAGGTTTTTAAAAATAAAGCTTTTTTGTTTCTAAATGTCTGTTGTATGCCTGGCCACGTGTGCCACAGTCCACAGGTTAAAGAAGGTGGTGCTCATCACCCAGAGCCAACCTGGACAGGTGTCCACATAAAAACTGTAGCGTTTATTTCCTTAGGACGGGAAGAAGGCAACTGTTTAGAAGAGGTCTGATGTTGCATGCAATAACGCGAAAATTTTATAAGGGTAGAAAATTACTTGGGGGATTGGTAACAGGTTGAGTTTACAGGTGTCTGGATCTGGCCTGAGAAGTCAGAGGGCTAAGGATTAGTTTTTTTCTCAGATACGTTTCGATACACATCCATTATAGAGAAGGTATTAGGTACAAGAAAATATAAGGAAGAAAGGGAAAGCAGCCCATTTCTCCCACCAGAAATAGCCACTCCTTTGTTTTGCATAATTTCTCTCTCCCTCTCTCATGCTGCAAATATGCTTGTAATCCTGCATTTTTATGTAATACTATATCATAAGGATTTTTTTCTATCATTTAAAGAAAAGACTTTGATAATTTGGTGGGAGAAAAATAACTACTTTTAATTTGCATTCCCTTAATATTTTAGTTAGGATTAATGTTCTTTCTTATGTCGAATGTCAACGTGTATTTACCCGTAGAGATTGTTAGCTCTTCTACTCTGTATCTTTCTGTAAATTTGGAAATGTTACTAAAGCAAGCCTCTTATTTCAGATGTCCTAAACGATGCTATATTTGATGAAGATCATGATGAGATGGTAATTGTGAAGGACATAGATATGTTTTCCATGTGTGAACATCATCTAGTTCCATTTGTTGGAAAGGTAAGGTTTTCTTTGTTGTTTCCTAACAATTTACAAAAGCACAACCAAGTTTTAAAACTAGGATAATTATATTTAAAATTGTCACCCGCTAATACCTAATATCCCAGATATTTAGAATTACACATAAATGTTTACTCTCTATCAACTTGACTAATAGCTCGAAATTAACAAAACAAAAACTAAGTAGCAGAAGGCCCTGGGGCCAGCATTTCATAGTAAATACCGTGTTCATAGGTTAAAGTAATGAGATTAAAGTCGGGTCTTTTTTTCTAAGTAGCTGCCTTGGGCTCTGAAGACCTTTGCCGTTTATTTTGACTAAATAATGTTTGATCCAAGATATACTTTTGTGTAAGACAACATGAGCAGTAATGATTGCAGAATTTCTTGTGGTGGAGGTTATAGTATTAGTGGATTTATTAGTTTGTTTCCAACTCTTTCTTTGTTAGGAAAAATGAATCTAATGCAAGCTAGATAATATTCTTTGGCTTGTTGTAGTTAAATATACTTTTGAGAACAAGTAGGTGTGAGACCAAGAGCTGTCCTGTTCTCTTCCCCTTCTCCCATATCATAGTTTTATTTTATTTTGGCTTTTTATTAATAATTTTCAAACAGGACACTAATAGGAAATAGTGTTATAAACCCATCACCTTAATTTAATGTTAACATTTGCTTCACATTTTTTTGTTAAAGTATTTTATTTTTTATAGAAGTAAAACATAGAAAAATGTACATAGAAAAATGTACAAATCATAAGGGTATTCCTTACCACCCCACAGATCAAGAACTAGAACATTATTAGTATCCTGGAAGCTCACCTCATGCCCGTTCTTAATCCCTAACCCATTCCCTGTCCCCATAGGTAACCAGTATATTGATTTCTAACACTATAGGTTAGTTTTGCTTGTTTTTCAACTATATATAAATAGAAAGAATCTACAGCATGTTCTCTTTTGTGTCTGGCTTCTTTTGTTCCACATTGTAAGAGTCATTGATGTTATTGCCTGTCACTGTAGTTTGTTTATTTTTCATTGCCGTGTATTATTCCATTGTACACACATACCACAATTTATCTATTCTGTTCTTGGTGGATATTTGTGTTGTTTTCTTTCTCTCTGTTTCGTTTGTTTGTTTTGTTTTGCTATTACAAACAGTACTGCTACTAGCATTCTTACGGTGCACATATGTATGCATTTGTATTAGAGGTGTACCTAGGAGTGGAATTGTAGGGTCATGGGGTATACCCATGTTTGACTTATTTAGATACTGACCTTTAGTTTTCCAAAGTGGTTGTACCAATTTACACTTCATATACTCTCATATGAGTCCCAGTCACTTCACATCCCCTCCAACACTTGGCACTTTCAGTCTTAACTTAAAAGTTCAGCTTCTGATGTGTGTATAGTGATATGTCTATCTCCTTCTTAAACCTTTTAGTATAGAAAATTTCAAACATATATATGAATAAAAAGACTGATATAATAAAGTTCCATGTTCCCATCAACCAGCTTCAGCAGTTATCAGTAAAGGACCAATTTTGTGATAGTCCAGTCCCCACTGGACTATTTGGAAGCAAATCCTAGATAGCGTATATTTTTTCCATAATTTCTTCCAGAATGTCTCTCTGAGAGAGAAGGATTTTTTTAGAAACATAACTCCGATTTGATTATCAGCCTAAAAAGTTAGCAGTAAATCCTTCAACATGTTAAAGAATATAAAGTATGTTATAGACAGCATGACTTTTCATCAGTAATTAATATGCATCTCTAAAATAATATTTTCTTATCCACAGTAGCACTACCATAAACAAAATTATCTGTAATTCCCAAATAGCATCTAATAACTAACCCATATTTACATTTCTCCATCTGTCTCAACTCTTAGCGTCAGCTTGTTTAAATCAGAATCCAAATAAAGGCCACACATTTTCATTTGCATTGCATTGGTTGTTATGTCTCTTAAGTCTTTGATTCTAAAATAGTCTCCTCCCATCCCCGAGTGGCATTCTCTTATTAAAGAGACTGGGCCAGTTGTCTTGTAGAGTGGCCCACCTTCTGGACTTCTTCCATTCAACTCCTGGATTTCCTATAAATTAGATTAGATCTAAAACTTTCTAAGGTTAAGGCTAAACATTTTTGATAAGAATAATTATCAAATTATAGGGGTGCTTGAGGACTCCATATTTCACTACATGAGGAGGCATGCGCTGCCTGGCAGTCCCACAGTTAAGGATGCTGGGCTTGTGACAACAGGGCTCAGGGTTTTTAAGAATGAGGAAACCTTTGAACTCATCACTACTTTTTATTGTAAGTGACAAAATTAGGCCCAGAAAGCCTGTGACTTGTCTAAGAGGCCCTCAGGAGTTAGCGACTTGGCTGGAGTCAGAGCCAGGAGCTTGATCCTGTACTCAGCTTCTCACCACTATATCGTGTTCCTTTCTGCTATGATTACCTCTGTGTTTGTGTCCTTGCTAACGCTGTTTTTAAATGTATTATTCAGTGATAATTTCCTAAAATGGACATTTAAATGACTTAGGATCTTCAGGAAGACCAAAAATAGTACAAACAATAAACAGATTATAGCTCTGCATGTAAATATAAAAATTTCAGGTGGTACAGAAGACTTTGGTTCTATGGGAAAGTTTTAACTCTGATTTTTCTGTGAAATACCCAACGTTCAGGCGCTACTTTACTTTCTCCTCTGCTGACCCAGGAAGGCAGTGAGTTGGTGTTCTCAAACTCCCAAAGCATAGTGCTAGCAGATGGAAGATCACTAATTACTACTAGATCAATTATGCAAGTGTACAGTAATTATTAGGTGAACAAATGCAACCAGTGCTGGCAAACCATGATGCAAATGAATCTGTAATTTTATATTAGGTTAATTGATTGCCTACACATGACCATTTACTTTATTAGCCTTTTTGGAGAACTGGTATTTTCTCTTACTTAATACTTGGCTCAAAGAGAGGTAATGTTTATGTATTAGATATTAATCAGTGCCTTTTAAGATTATAGAAATGGCTTTGCCTTATAGTAGGTCCTATAAGAACTTAAGTCTGAAGATCCAGGTCCTTGTTGAGTCACATTTGTAGCTGTACCCCTTTTCTCCTGTCAGGAGAACGGTGCTCTCCAGCAGCTTAGAAATGGGGCCACCACACATGACAAGGGACATGAAGACCCTCTTTATGTGCAACAGGGCTCTGCAACAGGGTGGGATTTTTAAAGCCACCATGATGTGTGGAATGGCAATATTTATACTTACAGTTTCAGCCATTTAAAGGAAGTTTTCCTGGCTACATTTTAATATTGCTACAGAATAATTTGCACTTTCTTGAGAATGTTTCCCCTCAACAGAGGGAAGACTTTCAGAATTGTATTGGGAGTTTAACTTTACCAGGAAATACCACAACTATACTTTAAATTTGTCATTTTATTAATAGAATCATTCTTATATATTTTCTTTTTACTGCATTTATGTAAATTTTTAAATGCTTATATAATTGCTTCATTTTATAAGTCTTAAAGCTTCTAGATGTTTTAAAGATACATTTTCATTGTGTTGAATTACATATTAAGTATGCTGTATAATGTTTACTTATGTCCTTATTTTGTCACAAAGAAGCACTGTGTTTTCACTTAGCTCACGATTTCTATCTCGTCTCTGAAGGTCCATATCGGTTATCTTCCTAACAAGCAAGTCCTTGGCCTCAGCAAACTTGCAAGGTAAGTATGACTGTGTGGTGAATAGGAAAACAGGTTTCTAGGACCTGCCCCTATACGGTGAGAATCTCACCAGCCTTTCTCTCTTGACCAGTGCAGATCTAACTTGGAAGTCATGTTACAACTTAAAATTTATAGTCTCAGAGACAAATAGACTTAGAGGACCTGAAACACAATGACCTTTTTGCTCATTGCCCCTTTGCCTGCTCTCCTCTCCCACCTCCTCCGTCTTCCTCCACCAACACATCCTCAAGTCTTAGCTCACACCTTTCTCTGTAGACCTTCCCTGACTGGAGAGGACCCAAGAGTGCGTTCAGTCCAGCCCCCGTCCTTGAAGGGCAGTTTAGCAGCAGTGAGAGGTGGGAGAGGACACTGGGCAGGGGTCTGACTGCACTGCACTGTTTTCAGACTTTTAATCAAACCACCATCTGGGGCCTCAACTCTGCCTTCTGCTGTACCTGGGTACCTCCAGGCATTTCTCGGGGGTCCTGCAGGGCCAGTCAGGTCACTTCTGGTTTCTTTGCCTCTGCAGACACAAGACTGTGCCTTCTTTGGCTTTCTGAGCTCTATCCTGAGACAGGGCTTACTCCTCTCTCGCCTGTTTTCCCTTTCTGCCGCAGTTGTATTTTCTGTTCTTTATCCTGTGGGTTCATGACTTTTAAAAAATTCCTTTGCTACCATTTTTATTTGGGTTTTAGGAAGGAGAGATGATACACAAGCATGGTCATCTATGTTTAACTGGACGTCAATTTGAGAGTTAGTGTTCCTATATCTCTCATAGGCCCAGCCACCAATACTTTATTGCTTCTAAATATCCTTTTTTGTAATTTCTTTATATGGAGTTAGTGAGTCTTGGGTGATGGGGAAATACTGGGAGGTGTGTGTGTGTGTGTGTGTGTGTGTGTGTTGAGAGAGAGTTGAGAATAAAATGAAGGAATAGGCAATAAACATACAGTCACGTGTCTCCCACCTTTTTTAAATAAAAAGCTAAGTTTGGATAACTTGATTGAAGTTATAGTGATCATATCAAAATTGGAATAAATGAATCTTTGTGACCAACTGATTATTCTGTGGCTCTGATGTGTTCCTGCTTCTTCTCCACTTGGACACTGGGATTCATGGCAATCCTGAAATGGTGGTCCAGATCCTTTTCAATTCTGTGTTGGAGTCTGCAAAAACCACTCCAGCAATCTGACAGCTGCTCTCCACAGCTGTTCTTTTTACTTTGTTTTCACTTCCTCTTTCTTACTCATTTCCTCTAGGGATTAAAGAGAAAGTAGGTAGAAGAGAGAAATCTAACTTCCCTGGTTTCTGACCTCATTCCTGCTAAGCAACCTTGCCACCAGACAGAGTATTTGGTACCATGGAAGGATGTTATTATGTCGTAGCTGTAATTGCTTCACTGCAGTAAGGTACTTAACACAAATCTGGAAACATCTTGCTGCCTTTCAGTGATCTATACCCAGTGGCAGTGCCAAGAGGTGGCTGAAAAAGGGTACTGGTGGTGACGGGGGTAATTAATCCTACTATAATTTCTATTAGCAACCCCCTCCCCAGTAACTTACTCCCAAATAATAAAATCATGTCAACTGTGAATAAAAGTGTCTTTACTAAAATCGTGTATTCTTACCATTTTGTAATGCATGGTCTAAGTGAAATCAGCGTCTTTGCTGTGCAGACGTAGCGGTAGGCCCAGTCTCCTTGTACCCTCCCTTCCAGCAAGATCGCCAACCCTACTGCTTTCCCATATAGAAATTCTAGCACTGCTGATGCCTGTAACAGACTGTCCGTATGTGAAAGGTGTGTAGTGGGTAGTTTTCACTTATAAAAAAGCTCGGCAGACCACATTAGGCCCTGGTCTTAATGTCAGCAGCCTTCTCAAGAAGACCACACTGTATAAACTAAGAGTAACACCTTATGGAAATAGATTCTAGAGTGATCCAGTGAGATCTTGGAATAAATGGTAACTTGGGGAGAGTAATCTTTGGTTTTTTCCTTTACTAGTGAAAGGAGAAGATCTCAAATAATTAAGCTTTTACGAAACAATGCAAAGGAGTTGATTATTAACATGGGGATTTGTCCTTTCACTAATAGGATTAAAGCTTAAGAAACAAATGGAACACTAAACCAAAGAACCTAGTGTATGTTCCTTTCAGATAGTTTGTAAAAAATTTGAATAAAGGGTGTATTAAATGGAAAAGAAGACTAAGATTTTATCCAACTGTTTATTCCTTATAAGAAGTAGGAATATTTAGAGAATCAAGAGTTAATAAAGAAAACTGAATGTCTTAGCAAAACTTCCCTGCTCATTGTAATCTTATATGTGAAGTTTGTTATATGCTTGCCTTTAAACGAATGACCTTTTTGTGCCGGGGAAGTCAAATATCAAATAGTAAAGCCTTAAGTAACAAGAAAATGCCAGAAGTGAGTTGATCTGGTTTAACTCTAGTAGAATTCTAGAGTAAACTTAAGTTTGAATAGAAGTTCCTTTTGTTGCTGATAAACCATTGAACATGTATTAGTTTTCTTGCCTTAGAATAATTGAGTGAACATAATTAAATCTTGAATATATAGGGCCGGCCTGGTGGTGCAAGTGGTTAAGTGCGCGCGCTCTGCTGTGGTGGCGCGAGGTTCGCTGGTTCGGATCCTGGACGCACACCGATGCACTGCTTGTCAGGCCATGCTGTGGCAGCATCCCATATAAAGTGGAGGAAGATGGGCATGGATGTTAGCCCAGGGCCAGTGTTCCTCAGCAAAAAGAGGAGAGTTGGCAGATGTTAGCACAAGGCTGATCTCCTCACAAAAAAAAAAAAAAAAAAATCTTGAGTATAGAATTGTTAGTGTCTTGGGGTAGCCAAAGTGAGTCTATTTATTGAGGACTTACCGTGAGGGGGCACTGTGCCAGCTATTGTGGCTGCTAGAGAAAAGTAGGACACAGCCACTGCCTTCAAGGAGGGGGACAGTACAAGGCAGAAGTCGCCACAGAAATGCCTGGTTTAGAACTCCGAGTTCAGAGGAGCCAAAGATGGCTGTGGCCTGGCAGGGTTGGAGACACCCAGAGGTGGAGGGCTGAGAGAATTCTAAATGGAAGAGAAGTTCCTCTAGGTGTGGTTAATGCATAAGCAAAGGCAAATAAGAGGGTAGGAAAGGCATGTTCCAGTGGATAGGGAGCAGGTTGATGGACAGAAATAAGAGATTTGGGCAGGGGTGACTGGGAGATTGTTAAAAAGGTAGAGTGGGCATTACGTTACAGAGGAAACATTCTTTTTTCCTCTTTCTCTCTATTATAAAAGTAACATACTTACCAGTTAAACTTAAATGCAAATGAGTGAGTAAACAGAGAGCTTTTCTTTCCTAGTTCCATTCCCCACAGTTAAAACTGGAGATCCTTTCACTATCCTTCTGGAAAATTTCTCTGCAAACATAGACATATAGGTCTTTAAAACTAGCAAAACAAAGCAAAAAAAGAGAGATCATACCCTACATTCTGTACTACAACTTGTTTCTTTTCTTTTTAATTTAAAATATCCTGAAATCCCTTGGATATTTTTTAGTCCAAAAAGTCCAAATTCCTTTTAATGACTATATAGTATTTCTTTGATTAATATAATCCATTTAACCAATGTTTAATATCGATAACAATAGTCTACAGTTTGAGACTATCATCATAAAAGGAAAAGAAGAATACTTTGGTGAACATATTTTTATGTATTTGTGTACTTTGAGTTTACCTGTAAGAGAAATTGCCAGAGTAAAATTTACTGGGTTAAGGAGGGTTGAATTTTTGATATTATCAACTTGCTCTCCAAAAAAGATCATACCAATTTATATTCTTAAAAAGAGATAAAGGGTGTGTATTTCTCTACACTTTTGCCAACATTGGGTTTCATCATACTGTTTAATCTCTGCCAAACTGGTAAGTGAAAAATGCTACCTGTTGTTTTAATTTGCATTTCTTTAATGCAAGAGTGAGGTTGAATCTCTTCAGAAACTTCCTGCTCTTAGCCCGTGTTAATTTTCCCGTTGGGTTGTCTGTCTTATGACTGATTCATCAGAGCTCTCTGAATGTTAAAGCCGTGTGGTCAGGTGCTGTGAACAGTTTCTGCCAGCTTGTCATTTGTGTTTTGATTTTGTTTTATAGTATTGTTTTTCCATAAAGAGGTTTAAACCTTTATGTAGTTATAAACTCATGTTTTGGGAGTTATTTTTATGGCCTTATTTTTATATTTACATCTTTGTTCTGTCTGGAATGTATTTCGGGGCAAGGAGGGAGGAGGAATCCATCCATCGCTGATGTTGGCTCACCGACCTCCTGCAGCACCCCCTTCCCTCCTGTTACCATGCTGCCTCTTGCTGGCCTTCTGCCACTCTGCTGGGCCTTTCTTATGTTCCTCCTGGTTTATATGTTAAACTCCTAACTCCTCCTTGCCTCTAATCTCTTTGGGTCCTTAAATCTGCCCTCATGTGCTGCTAGGATCTTCTTTCTAAAGCGTGGATTTGATGATGCTGCTCCTGCATAGAGCCCCGTGGCGTTTAAGCTGACTTTAGCTGACAAGTCTCACTGTGATCCGGCTCCCTTTCTTGCTGCTCTTTGCCTTTTGCTCTAGCCACACGAGAATTTGCAGCCTGGTGTCAACTCATGCTTGTCAAGTCAAGTCATATGAAGGCATTGAAAATAGTCTTAAGATTTGCAAGGGTTAAATTATACCATCCATGTGTTCTTCTTGCAAAAATGTCACCAGATTACTTTTCCAGTTGCCAGAGGAGGAAGACCAGGAGAGAAAGCATAACGCAAAAGAAAAAAACAGAGGACCTAGCACAGATGTTATAAGGCCAGTAAGTGGGCTATTTAAATAAGATGTCCATTGGGTTAAATGTAGTACTTAACCATGTCCCCTTTATTTTAGTAATCAAAACAATATGGTACTGGCATATAAACAGACACGTAGACCAGAGGAACAGAGTAGAGAGCTCAGAAGTAAACCCACGCACATATGGTCAATTAATTTATGACAAAGGAGCCAAGAAGGGAAAGGATAGTCTCTGCAATAAGTGGTGTTAGGAAAACTGGACCCCTATCTTACACCATATACAAAAATCCACTCAAAAGGGATTGAAGACTTGAACATAAGATCTGAAACGATAAAACTCCTAGAAGAAAACATAGGGGGTGAGCTCCTTGACATCGGTCTTGGTGATGATTTTTTGGATTTGACACTGAAAGCAAAGGCAACAGAAGCAAAAATAAACAAGTGGGACTACATCAAATTAAAAAGTTTATGCCTAGCAAAGGAAACCATCAACAGAATGAAAAGGCAGCCTACTGAATGGGAGAAAATATTTGCAAATTATATATCCGATAAGGGGTTAATATCTAAAATATATAAAGAATTCTTATAACTCAATGGTGAAGAAACAGACAATCCAATCAAAAAATGGGCAGAGAAACTAAATAGACATTTCTCCAAAAAAAGACATACAGATGGCCAACAGGTGGATGAAAAGGTGCTTGACATCACTAATCATCAGGGAAATGCAAATCAAAACCACAATGAGATATCACCTCACACCTGTCAGAATGGCTATTATCAAAAAGGCAAGAGATATGAGTTGGCATGGATGCGGAGAAAAGGGAACCCTTGTGCACTGTTGGTGGGAATGTAAATTGCATAGAGGTGCAGCCTCTATGGGAGACAGTATGGAGTTTCCTCAAAAAATTAAAAATAGAACTACCATATGATCCAGGAATCCTACTTCTGGATGTCTATCCAAAGGAAATGAAGGCAGGATATCCAAGAGATATCTACTCTCCCATGTTCATTGTTTTCACGAACAAAAACAAAACAAAACAAAATGTGAGGCTATAGATGTGTTAATTAACTAGTTGGAGGAATCTTTTCACAATGTATTTGTATATCAAATCACCATGATATACGCTTTCAAAATCTTATAATTCTTATGTCAGTTATACCTCAATAAAGCTGAAATTTTTAAAAAGCTGCACTTTGGAATTAAATTTGTAGCCATAAATGCTTTCATTATTAAATAAGAAACACAACAAATGAATTAAGCATTTTTTTTAAAAGGAAAAGAATTATAAAGCAAGCTTAAAGAACAAATAGGAGAGAAGACAAAATAAAGTTATTAGTTTAGAAAAATCAAAAAATAGAAATCATAAATCTCAGTTGAAAATCTTGTGTCATAGATTGCTTGGAAGTCTGAGAGGATACATACTTACATCTAGGAATGAGAGGCTATGTAACTAAAAATATGCTTTAAAAACTTTAAATCTTTATGAATAAGTTAAAAAAAAAGATGGAGAGAGAAGGGAATGACCCGAGAGTTAGAAAATTTGGATAAACTAGTAGCCATTAGAAAAAGTCAAATTAATGTTGGGAGTAGCGTGGGAGGGAAGGGGCTGGGCCGAGTCAATTTAATAGACATTATCTCAATTTCCAAGTAACCATAATTCCCATGTTGTATAAATAATTCCAGAGCTTGGAAAAACCTGAAAAGCTATCCAAGTAATTTGATGAAGCTGACTATCCCTGATAACAAAGCCTGATAAAGCTAGCTTTGAAAAAAATTATAGACTGATCTCACTTACGAATGTAGTTGTAAAAATCCTAAATGTCAAAACAACCTTCTCTGACAGGCTGCAAGTGCTGCTTTCATCTCGCCTCAGGGAGGTTTGCTCCGAGAATACAGAAGTTATGGAGCCAACGTCATGGTTCTGTCCTCCCAGGTCTCACACGCCCTTAATTGAAATTCCAGGAAATGACAGAGGCAGTGGGGTAGGTTCAGTATTAGAGAAGGTAACGGCTGAAAAGATTTCCAGAGCACACTCTAAATATCAGTCTTCAAATTCAGGAAGCCTAATAAATTCCAAAGAGGACAAATAAAATGAAATCCCTACCTAGACACAACATAGAAAATGCAGAGTACATATACTCAAATATCATAAAAGCAGCCACACAGAAAAATACTACCTACAAGGTAACAGCAAGTAGACTGATGATTGATTTGCCAGCAGCAATATTGAAAGGGAGATAAATATCAACGTCAAACTAGCCTTCTGTTCCCAAAAAATACCTCTCAATAAATCATCTTCAAGCATGAGGGCAAAACAAAGATTTTTTTTTTTAATTTCAGGGAAGCTATATGATTATCTTGAATGCTGAGAAGACAAATTCAACATCTACTCCTTACTTGAAAAAGAAAACTGAATAAGCTAGGAATAAGCACTTCTAAACTCTCTGAGCATAGGGACACTGTTCACCACATAATCATGCCATAGTAGGCACTCAGTAACGGTCTGCGTGAACGACCCTCCTGTGGCAGATGAGTGGTGCTCTACCAGAAACAGGCAGGCACTGTGGGTGACGGTAAGATGTTCCAGGCACTGCTATTAATGTGTGGTGCACAGTATGGATGCCCAGTATCGCCACTGTTGTCTGATACTGTACCTGAAATTTTACTCGAGAAAAAGAAATGATGATTGTGAGAAGTCATTACTAATTTTTAAATCAATGGCATCTCCTACTTATAAGAGAAATTAATCACCTGGAAAACTGTCAGAAGTAGTATATATGGAAATTTGACCTAGTAAGAAAGAAGACATATTTCCTATCTAGGAGCTTAAAAGCCATCCTTTCTCAGCTTTTTGTTCAAGATAAAAAAAATATATAATTATATCCCCTCAATGTTGTATATCTACTGGGAACACAAAGAAGAATCAGGGTGGCTCCTGTCTTCAGGCTGAGTGGTAGATAAGGCGGTGGACCTGTTCCTGACTTTAGGGCTATAACATGCATCAAGGAGCAAGTTGTCAGTTCCATCTGAGCGGCTTACTGGGGAAAGAGCCATAAAATGCCTCATAGGCGAGCTGATCCTTAAATTGAGTCCAATTTCGCGACTAAAAGGCCAAATTTTAAAGAAAAGATCCTTAATGTGAATTGTTTTCCTCAAATGGGTAATTCACGTGACCATCTTTACATTTCACAACTAGAGTGCAAGATGTTGAAAGGGGAGAATTCATCACTGACAGATTGTGTAAAAAGCTAACATTGGAAGGCTTTTGTTTTGGGGGTTGATGGTGCTGAGTGCTTATATGGACCTGTGTCACAAAGAGATGTCTCAAAAAGTCTGTTCAGTTTTAATCTGATTATCCTAATAGGTTTAGTTGGTATAGTAGTTGATGATGGTCTGCTGTTAATTAACAAGTAGGCTTTTTATTTTTAACTTGAACTTTAAGTTCTGATTAAACAATATGATTAATTAGAACACTTCAGACTTGGCCTAAAATTGATGACTTGGGAGCTTTAAAATTCCCTCTACTTCTATTCTTCCTAAGTGAGCATTACCCGTAATTCTCTCCCTCTTCAGGGACGTGGGGAAGCACTATTCTGTGTTGTCGTGGTGGTCTCCTTTAGACCCTCCCTCTTCTCATTGCCCTGTAGTTTTTGTGTCTTTCTGTCCTCCCCTTATAAGCATTAATCCCCTACCCACACCCTACAATTGCTTCAATAAAGTCCTTTTAGTCTTTAGAGGAAGCTTTACCAATTTCACTTGACAATTTATGATTAACTAAAACAATTCTTTCTTTTCTAGGATTGTAGAAATCTATAGTAGAAGATTACAAGGTAAACTTTTAAACTATTTCATTTACAGAAAAACATTTTTTCTTAAGAAAGAGGTATTTTTTGTTATTACAAGTGTAATACATATGACTTATAAAAATTAAAACCTCATAGGAACATAAAACAGAAAGAGAAAGTTTCAAGTCTCCAGAATAAATCTTCATTGTATTTGCACATTCCTTCACGTGGTTGTGCATATACCGACATTTTAAAATTGCTTTATTTTTATCGTATTTTAAAAGGGGCTTCATTTTCTTTTTTTCCTACTTTGTTTTCACGTAACGAGCCTTAACCATTGTTCCCACATACCTGTCACTGCCCCGTCGTTCTGCTGACTGTTTGGCATCCCACTGTCTGGCTGTGCTGCTGCTTGATATGACCAATACCTGCTCTGATAGATATTTGGGGATTTTGTCAGTTTTCAAATAGATGCAGTGCTGCAGTGAACACTCTTGTATGTTTTCAAAGAAGAGTTGTTTATTCAGCACAGGAACTGCATTATTTAGGTTAAATATTTGATTTTCAACATTGCTCTAAGTATAATGCAGGAATTGGGCTGTAGCCCCTTTGTTAATCCAGTTGTGAGCTATTGATTCCTTTACTGTGCTCTGCCTTCATGGAGGTGTGTGTTATCAATACTCTGTGGGTCTTGCTGCACACCTGAGACGGTCACCCTTCTAATCTGTTCCCTCCAGTGGTGCTGGAGAGCACCAGGGTTCCTGAGCTCTCTCCAGCACCTGTGCTGCAGGTGAGGGAATTGAACAGGGGTCTCCTGTGGCCCAGGCAGCAGACACAGCAAACTGGTGAAAGCTGGTGTGTCTTGGCTCGTAAACCTCATAGAAGTCTGCTTTTTAGATTTCAAATATTCTAGAGACAACAAAAGCTTCCAGCTATCTGTTTGTGTCAGACCCTTAACCTGAGCTCCTTGTCACATCCACAGTTCAAGAGCGCCTTACGAAACAGATTGCTGTGGCGATCACAGAAGCTTTGTGCCCTGCTGGGGTTGGGGTCGTGGTTGAAGCAACGTAAGTCTGTATTTGCCTTTAATGATGTCAATGTGGTGCGTGAAAAGGATACTTAGCGCTGCTCGGTTTTTCTAGCACCAGGTGATGCCACACAATTGACACTGTCATGTTGTCTATCTCTGCTTTTACCTCTTTCATTTACTATGTTGCCAGTATAGGAACCAAGGTATGGGAGACGGGTTTTATTTTGTTTTTGGTGGGGGTTGTAGACGTGTAGGGAGTCATAGCTTAAGTGTAGTGATTTGTACAATCAGTATCATTTTATGTCTTCCTTTGATTTTTTCTTTAGCTCTTTGTTGCTCTAAGCAGTTTTCCTAATATTTTGTTACATGTTTAGAAATAGAGCTAAGAATGGTACAAAGGGCAGCTGAAGACACTTCGAGGTGCCGTGAATCATGAGAAGTGCACGTGTTTTGCGGGCAGAGTTTCCATCCATTCTTCTGGTGTGGCACGAGCTCTGTCCCGTATGTGCTGGCAGCTTCCCCAGGGGGCTCAGACTCACTGTGGTCAGTGCTCTCTGGATCCTGAGACCGGCGTACTTCAGCATTTCTCTGAACACCTAAGCTAGCACAGTGCTGTCTTGGTCTTGAAGATGGGTCAAGTGAGAATTCTGAATTTCTTTTTATCCAGTTGTTGCATTTCTGTAGACCCCATTGTATTATTTTCACCTAGGAAGAAAATTCCATCTTTTCCCCTTCTGTTGGATGCATTAAGGACGTGACCACTGATAAGAATAAAAGCTATAAGACTAAGAAACTTAAAAAGTTTTAGATCAAATTTGTCTAAGAAGTGATATTTCAACACACTTGGCAATGTGAACTCAGTTTAATTAGATTTAATTTTTTGGCCTGCTTTTTATTTTACAAACCAAGCCAGCAACTGTCTACTCCTTTAAACCACCTTTGTTGTCCTGTTTTTTAGACACATGTGCATGGTAATGCGAGGGGTACAGAAAATGAACAGCAAAACTGTGACCAGCACGATGTTGGGTGTGTTCCGGGAAGATCCGAAGACTCGGGAGGAGTTTCTGACCCTCATTAAGAGCTGAACGTCAGCGTGTGCCGTGGGGTCTGCCGATTGTGTTCGTCTGGGGTTAATTGTGCATTCCATTTTCAGTTGTTACAGACTTGAACTTTATTCCTTGTCACTAATTGTGTTAAATAATTATTTATAGCAAGTTAAGTAAAAATAATTAATAAAAGGGTGAGCCCTCTTCTTTCTTCTTGCCACCTTTTAGTGGCAGCATTCAAGCAGACTGCCAATAGTGTAAGTTACATGCACAGACCCTCTGCCATTCAGATCCCCTGCGGGTGCTGGGAAGGGAGAATTCATGTATTCTGTTTAAATAGTATGCTAATTTGGTTCATAAGCATAGGAGTGTTGGGAATGGGAGAGAACTATGATCAATGTACTGTTTTTTCCCCTCCCCAAACAAAAATGGTGTAGTGCTTATCATAATTTATGTGCAGTGTGCAGCATTGCTCTGCAAAGTCCAAGTCCAGCAGGCTCCACTTTAATCATGTTTATTAAACCACCAGTGACACTTTATTTTTTATATATTTATTTTTTAACTATCCAATTGTAATGTTAGTCACCAAGGGAAGGTGGTGGAATATGGATGTTTTTGATTTTACTGTGAGTCAAAAAGGCACATTTCTACCTTCTATTCTTTTTAAAATTCTAGTACAGGGAATTAGTTCCTGGAGTTGTTTACGAGTGTATTCTCATGTCGACATACAGAGATTTAGACATTTAAGTCTCTGTGCCTTGATGAGAATATCACACCATTTAGAGTGTAGATACTTTTGCCTTTTTTAAAAAGCCGTTATTTTATAAGACTTAGTACCGACACTGCAAATACCCAGTCTTCAGTTTTACCTCTAGAAGTTTCTTGGGAGCTTACTGTATGTATTCCTTATAGATGTCTCAAAACTTTTTTTTTTTGTCTTATCAAATATTTTTCTAAGTATTTCCAGAAACTGTTGCGAGGGTCCATCATTTTCAGGTCTGCAGAACCGGTCTGCAGAACCATAGCTTCCGTGAACATGAAAGCATGCAGAATGAACTAATTGTGGACCGCATTTAGGAGCGATGACCAATGTCTGAGGAAAGCTGTATTGTTGGTGTCTGTGAAAATGCACCCTAATTTTCTAGAATTATGGAAAATAGCAGAAGCCCCCTCCTGGTTTCCCTTGTGGTCCATGTGAGTCTTGTCTTCAGCGTAACTGTTCAAGTGGTATAGATCTTTTAGTCCGGGAAGCTGTTGCCTTATTAATGATTATATTAAAATTTCTTCCACATTTGGCAATGTGGGCCAAATTAAAATAAACAAAACCGCCAACTCCCCTGCAAAAACACAAACACAGTTATTCCCTGCGTAAGTGTCTCATTTGGTTGACATAGTGCTCTTCAAATTTATCCCATTACCTTAAGAAGAATTAACTACAGTACTTGCTTTAACTTTGGGAGCCCTTTCTCCGCCACTTTGATGCCATTTGACTTATGATGGGGCAAGGTGCCAGAAGTGCTTTTTTAAAAAAAAATTCTTCCCGGGGCCGGCCCCATGGCGTAGCGGTTAAGTGCATGTGCTCCACTGCTGGTGGCCCGGGTTCGGATCCCGGGCGCGCACGGATGCACCGCTTCTCAGGCCATGTTGTGGCGGCGTCCCACATAAAGTGGAGGAAGATGGGCATGGATGTTAGCCCAGGGCCAGTCTTCCTCAGCAAAAAGAGGAGGATTGGCATGGATGTTAGCTCAGAGCTGATCTTCGTCACAAAAAAAAAAAAAATTCTTCCCTACTTCTATTTCCTATATTTTTCTATATTTAGAGTTTCTGAAGTACAGTGGTAATTGATTTTGAGTTCCTTTTAAAATCTCACCTGATATAAACATTATCGTGCTTAATATTTAGACATTTAGAGATAGAATTGAGCATTCAACTCATGTTTGGTATTTTAAAGTAAAAACAGGTGTGACTCGGAGGGCCAAAGAAATCGTCAGCTATAAATTCATCTTTCTGAGATCAATTGTATGCCTTTGTAATGATTATTTGTTCTAACGTTCCCTAGAAATGTTCTCATAATGGTCTGTGTATCCACAAGCTGTTGTCTTATTGGTAAGCGCAAAGTAATTACCTTCTGTGTTTACTCTGGTCTACAGTACTTCAAGATTACCTTTTCATATCTATGACCTTGAGTTCTTTCTGGGGATTTTTAAGAATTTGATGCATTTAAATACACTGTTCAATGAAATTGTTTGAATTTTGTGTGTGTGTGTGTGTTACTAAAGTTGGTTCTATTTAAATTATTAAAGTGTCATAACTTTGTTCTTGTGAAAGTAGTTTTTTTTTGAACCACTAGTGTAGATATACCAACAAATTCGCTTATTTTAATTGTATTCTGTTTTAGCAAAGATACTCTTCCGAAGGGCTTCTCTCAGCCATCAAGCTATTAGAATATTAGTTTACCCCAAGGCTGTTTCCCTTTAGTATTTGGTTTGGGTGTTACTGGCCTCACCCTCCTGCAGTAATGGGAAGGAGAGACCTGGGGTAGGAGCAGGGAATCTGAGTGGCCCTCGTGTCCCTGTTGTCCTAAACCTAAATTTGGGTACCTGCAGCCTCCTGAGAACTGGCACTGCTTTTTGTGTGGGAGCATCTGGGGCAGGAAGAGAGGGCTGGGGCAGGGAATGGAAGAAAGTTTCCTTTCCTTTTCTAGGGAGCAGCCTGCCGTGGGCAAAACTTCCAAGTAGGTGCAAAGGTTTTGCTGCCTCTTTTCTGTCAGTGCCTGATGACCTCATCCTACCATCGTTTGGCGTGGTCTTCTCCCTGTTCCCCGCTCCTCCTGGGCAGACACCCCTGCCCTCACTGGTTGTCAGCATGTCCAGGTGCTGGAACACTGGAGTGGCCTGCTGCACCTTGAAGGACCCTGTAGACTGTTGGGTGGTGAATCTAATCCCCCAGACTAAGAATACTTACTGGCATAAGACATTCCTAAAACCACAACTCACAGGTGTCAGAACAGTGAGCTGCTCAACTAAGACCAGGTTGCTGCTTCATAGTTTTTTCACTGAAGATTTGCTGGCCGAGTTCCCTGTTTTGTCACTTAGTGGAACAGCAGTTTTGGACACCAAAGGTTTTAGAGAAGGCGTTCCATCAACGCAGGACCCCTGGATTCACTGTGATGGTCCTGGGTCTTCCTGCTGTTGGAGGGGGAGAAAGAGTCCAGTAGATGAATTCAAGGGCGAAGTGTAAATACCCCAACACTCCCAGAGGCACTTTATGTTTAGTCTTTATTATGGAGAAGAAATAACCAACAGTAGGTAGTGCATGAGTCCGTGACCCCTATATACCCATCACCCAGATTCAATAAATTTCAACTCATGGCCAACTTGATTCCTCCATACCTCCTGTTCCCACTGGATTATTTCAAAGCAAATCCGAGACATCATTTCATCCATAAATATTTCAGATTATCTAAAAGAAGAGGAATCATGTTAAAATAACAAAATACCATATGTTATCACACAAAAAATCAATGGTTTAATATCAAATATCTAGTCAGCATTCCATTTTCCCCTTTTGTCTCATAATTTTTTTTATAGTTTATTTGAATCAAGGTAAAAATGAGGTCCATACATTGCAACTGGTTGATCTGGGCTTTTTTTATTGTGGTAAAAAACGTATAAAATTTACCATCTTAACCGTTTTTAACTGTACAGTACAATAATAATTTTATGTACATTGTTGTGTAACATCTCTTGAACTCTTTGGTCTTGTAAAACTGAAACCCTATATTCATTGAACAACTTCCCTTTTTCCCTTCACCCCAGCCCCTGGTAACCACATTCTACTTTTCTGTTTCAAAGAGTTTGACTACTTTCGATACCTCATATAAGTAGAATCATGCAATATTTGTCTTTTTATGACTAGCTTATGTCACTTAGCATAATGTCCTTAAGTTTCATCCATGAAATAGCATATGACAGGGTTTCCTTATTTTTAAAGGTTGAAAAATATTTCATTGTATATACTACATTTTCTTTATCCATCCCTTGTCAATGGACATTTAGGTTACTTCCACCTCTTGCATCCTGTGAATAACACTGCAATGAACGTGGTTGTGCACATATCTCAAGATCCTGTTTTCAGTTCTTTTGGATGTACACTCAGAGGTGGAATTGCTGGATCATATGGTAATTCTTCTTAAAAATTTTTTGAGAAACCTCCATACTGTTTTCCATAGTGGCTGTGCCATTTTACATCCCCACCAGTAGTACACAAGGGTTCCAATTTCTCCACATCCTTACCAACACTTTTTATTTTCCAGTTTTTTGATAGTGGCCATCCTAACAGGCATGAGGTGATATCTCATTGTGGTTTTGATTTGCATTTCCCTGAGATTAGTGATGTTGCGCATCTTTTCATGTGCAGATTGACCATTTGTATATCTTCTTTGGAGAAATGTCTAAGTCCTTTGCCCATTTTTTTTGGTGAGGAAGATTGGCCCTGAGCTAACATCTGCAGCCAACCTTCCCCTTTTTACTTGAGGAAGACTGTCCCTGAGCTAACATCTGTGCCACTCCTCCTCTATTTTGCACGTGGGATGCCTCCACAGCATGGCTTGAAGAGCAGTGTGTAAGTCTGTGCCTGGGATCCAAACCCGCAAACCCCAGGCCCTGAAGTGGAGCGTGTGAACCTAACCACTACACCACTAGGCCGGCCCCCTTTGCCCATTTTTTAATCAGGTTATTTGTTTTTTTGTTGAGTTGTAGGAATTCTTTATACATTAAGCCCTTATCAGATAAATAGTTTGCAAATATTTTCTCCCATTTTGTAGGTTGCTTTTTCACTCTGTTGATTGTTTCCTTGCTATGCAGAAGTTTTTAAGTTTCATATAGTCCCATTTGTCTATTTTTGCTTCTGTTATTCTAGGAGTTTTATAGTTTCAGTTCTTATGTTTAGGTCTTTTATCCATCTTGAGTTAATTTTTGTATATGGTGTAAGTTAAGGGTCCAACTTCATTCGTTTCCATGTGGCTATACAGTTTTCCCAACATCATTTGTTGAAGAGACCGCCCCATTGTGTAGCCTTGGCGCCTTTGTCAAAGGTCATTTGATCATATACATGAGCACTGGTTTCTGGGCTCTCTATTCTGTTCCATTGGTTTATATGTCTGACGTTATGCCAGTACTACATTGTTTTCTTTACTGTAGCTTTGTAATATGTTTTGATATCAGAAAATGTGAGGCCTCCAGCTTTTTCTTTTTCGAGATTGTTTTGGCTAT